ATATAATTCTCTTCAAACTGATATTTGATTGCTTGTAATGTATACTACTAATCTCACACTGTTTGTTTGTTTGTTGTTTTTTTTTTTTTTTTTTTTTTTTTTTTTTTTTTTCTTTTGGATACGAGAGTTAAATCCATTAAGGATAAGCCAAATGGCACTTAAGAGATCAGAAGCAATCGTGAGAGATCATTAGAAATCAGCATAGTCAAAGATACCACAACAGCTTCCATCCCAAAGAGGGTAATGACTTTATTCAAACAATTCTTTATTGAAGTCACGTCAATTGATTTTAAGGGATACTAGTAATTGACCAGTGCATTGGCTCGTACCATACACAGAACAAAAGGTTTTTGTTTTTATTTTTATTTTTATTTTTAATATTTAATATTTAATAAATTTTAATTAAATTATTTAAGGGTTTTATTTATTTATTTATTTATAGATTTGATTCCTATAAGATATTATAATGAAATCTAATGAATTACATTCATAATAATGAAAATTAAATGTAATACAAACTTTTACAAAAAATAGTAATGAAAATTAAATACATTATACACTTTTACAAAGAAATTTTCAAAGTGGGAGAGAAAACCCCAATTGATACACGGAAAATAAGACCCACACCTAGGTGGGGAGATTTGAATTTAGTGGTGTTATATGCACCAATTAGTATACCAATTAGCGTACTATAATAATATTGCCACTTTAAAGTTACGGACCCCACCCATTATACAAAGTATAACGACTCAAAACCTCTAAGATTATGCCACATCACTTGTTAGAGCATCTCCAACGCACTAGGCATATAATGCTTGTTAGGTAAAATGCCTAGTATGACTCACTTTTTTTAACTCCAATGCACTAGGCATGTGATTAGGCATTTTAGCTCAACTCACATTCACTAGCTACATGTAGCTAGCCTTTAAGACTAGGCAAAATGTATTTAATCATTAGGATTATTTTCCTCCATCTTTGTTGTTGATGTGGCATTTTATAAAATTAATAGTATTTGGATGAATAACTAAAATAAAGAGCATGGTTGGAGCATGAAACAGTTGATAGGCAAAATAAAATGTATACTTTATAGTAATGTTTAGATAGGTAAAATGTCTATTACCGTTGGAGATGCTTTTAGTACACTAATTGGTATAGTGTGTATAACTTTATTCATTCAAATTACTGACATCTTGGTGAGGTTCAAGAATTCTGGCCAATCGGATTAAACCCGTTGATTTATTTAAGTTTTTGATTATGTGTGTATATATACCTGCACATTTTATGGATTCCTCATAAGTTTGCATGTTGAAACACATAGGAGTAAAGAGCACAGATACCCAAGATTACACATTTAACTAGTTATATGCATTTAAATTATAGATTTGTGAACTTGGCGTGTTGATATTCTATTTATTTCTTTTCCAACTTTTCCTTTTGGTTGTGACAGTGGTCTAAAATTTGAGAGGACTATAGCAGTGGTATGCTCCTAATGTGTTATTCATTTTGGACCAGCTTTTAAAAAAGAAGTGGCATTCTTTTTGGATTAGGAGAGAGCTGATCCTTGTGCCTTCTCTGATCATCAGATGGCATGTTCCAATGATGTAGGCCTTTCAATTGCTTTCACATATTTGGTAGATAAATATAACTATTCATGAATATAGTCTATAGATGTACATCAAGTCAAAAATTGTAAGTTGAAGATGAGTCGAAGCAGATGAACAAAGGTCTTAAGTTGAAATTAAGGCAGATGGAGGTTTAAAGCCATTAGGAAGATGGACAATGATGTAAAATGTGATCTTGTGCTTGAATCTCCTCAAGACCAGAACCCTTCCTTCTCCCTAGTGGAAAATTGATGCAATTAGCTTCTTTATGGGTTTCTTTACATCGCCTCCTTTGAGGACTCTAACAATCTTGTTCTTGATTTCTTCATCTTTGCCTCCCCATTGCAGAGGATAGCTTCTCAAGAACACCCTTATGGTTGTAGTCTTCGTAGCAAAAGCTCCTAGTTCTTAGGCCATTTCTGCTATAATTTTAGACCACATTTGAACTGTAGGTGCTAACAATGGTCTGATTCTTGTTGTTGGGTTGTTGGGAGGAAGGTATTTTTATAGGAAGGAAAATGGCATGGGAGTATGACTAATTTAATTACTATGTTGATGAGAGAGAGGGAGAGAGACTATTTTTCTTAGAAAAATAGCATCAGATTAACGGAATCATTTCATGATCTTAATGGTGGTGGTATCCCTACTAATTGTCATACCTCCAAATAAGTCAAGCTGAGTAGTAAATTGTTAAAATTTGACTTAAAAATTTAACAAGTTTCAAAATATGTTAAAACTTGACTTGTTTATTTTTGAAATTAATTTCAAACAAGTTTTAATCGAACTGAGTTTTGTTTTACTTCCTATGTGTATTCATGTAAAAAAAATTATGCATATGTTTTGGACCCACTATATTTAACAAATAATGAGAGAATCATATTTTCATGCTGTTATAATTGCTCTATTATCCCTTGTCAAATTGTGTTTCCATACTCTAGCATGCTTCACAATATTTAACTTTTCGAATGATTAATTGTTTCTTTGTTACTTCTTCTTCTTCGTAGAAGGGAATATACCTATGAATATATCTGTTAGACCTGTTAGGGAAAATATGTGATTCCCCACAAGTAAATCAATTAATGGGAATAAAAACTAATGCAGAAAAATTAAATCAGAAGCAACACAAGAATTTTTACGTGGTTCCCTCAATGTGAGGTACGTCCACGGGATCGAAATCCGATTCCACTATGAACCAAATAGTTCCAAACGATTACAAACGAGACACTAATAGTCTCACAGAACCACCCTTAGGTGAATTCCAAAAAATCACAAATAAACAAAGAGGAAAGATCTCACCAAATAGATGAACCAAAATCTTCAGAACCAAAGTTGTAGAAGATCAAAAATAATTATCCCAAATCAACCGAATCAAGAGACAACAACATCCACGAACAAAGCACAATCAACCCAGATCAAACAGCCGCTGTTATCCCTAAGAAAACTCACTGAATCAATTAGGAAGCACTAATCTCACCAACTATCAATGAGAACCAATGGTTGCTCCCCTTTTTGAAAAACCGAAAAACAATAGTGCAGCCGCTACAGTTTTTCTTTTTGGTGAAAACCAATATATGTCTATCTCAACTATTGAACAATATATATATATATATATAATTGGGTATTGAGTTTTGTAATCAAACCCTAATTGTATCCAAATTGAATTGGGTCTCCACAAATATAATATATAATAATACATTATACCTAAACCAAGCCAAATTAAAATTCTTTAACAAACCAATTGGGTCCCACACTCCAATAAGGAGGTATACCTAACAATTCTCCCCCTACCGACTTAGGTGGAGAGATCAACCATACCCACCAAAGTTCGACACTTCAAATGTTTGTCCATCGACAAAGTCTTCGTTAACATATCTGAAATATTATCACCTGTGTGAACCTTATCGAGTTGTAACAATTTCAAATCTAACACATCGTGAATCTAATGGTATCTCACATCAATGTGTTTCGATCTCGAATGAAAAGTAGAATTTTTATTCAAGTGAATAGCACTTTGACTATCACAATAAAGCACATACTTTTCTTGCTTTAAACCCAACTCTTGCAAAAATTTCTTCAACCATAACTCTTCTTTGCAAGCTTCCACAATAGTAATAAATTCAGCTTCGGTAGTTGAAAGAGCAACACATTTTTGTAATTTAGATTGCCATGCCACAGCTCCCCCTGCAAAAGGCATCAAATACCTCGAAGTAGATTTTCTAGAATCAATATCGTCGGCCATGTCAGAATCAGTGAACCCATCAAGCATCGGCTTACCATCCCCAAAACACAAACACACCTTCGAAGTCCCTCGAAGATACCTTAGAATCCATTTTACCGCTGCCCAATGTTCTTTACCCAGATTAGAGAGAAAACGACTCACCACACCAACGGCATGAGCAATATCCGGCCTTGTACAAACTATGACGTACATCAAAGAACCAACTGCTGAAGCATAAGGAACTTTCAACATCTCTTCCTAAACTGAGACCACTTATTTATAAATCAAAAATTTTATCAAACAAGTTTTTATTTGAGTTTTTTAAATTTTTGTAAATATAAACAGAAAACTGAAAACGTAAGTGTTACCAAACAGCACCTTAGTGATGAAAATAATTTTTTGTTTTGTTTTATATGTTATCGTTTTTTTCTGTTGTGAAATAACTAAACATACAGACAATAATCAGAAAAAGACAAAAATAATCTCACACAAGAAATAACACAGAGATTTACGTGGTTCAGCAAGATTGCCTACGTCCACGACTCACATTAATTTTATTATATCATAGAGAATGAAAAAAGAGTACAATCAGCTGCTACAAAAAACAACATTATGTATAGCGCTAGTGCTACATCAACAATTACCAAGGTTTGCCTCTTATAACAAAATAAATTCTGAATTTTTAATTTTGTCAATTTAAATTCTAATATTTCAATTTATTTTCAATATAAACCATAGGTCTATTTTTGTTAAAGAAAACCAATAGAAAAATGATTATTTTAATCATTAAACTCGATAAAAAATGGTATTTTAAACATTTTATATATACCTATATTGAATTTAATGGCTAAAATATTTATTTTTTGCCAGTTTTACTTAACAAAAATAAGCCAGTTTTACTTAACAAAAATAAACAAATGATTTAGATTGATAATAAATCAAATGATTACGAGTTAAATTAACAAAATAAAAAATTTAGATTTTATTTTATTGCAAGCGTCAAACTTTTGAAAAAAAAATTTCCCCTGTATTTTTTATTTGTATAATATTACAACAACATACCTATCTTGGCTTCTGGCTAGGATAAGTTTATTCATTGTTCTTTATCATTAATAGAAATAAAATAAAACTGTTCTTATTACAAACATCATTAATGGAAAACAAATATAGCCAGAGTTTTGAAACCTGAGAAGCATGAAGAAAAGTTTAAGCCATGTTGACCACGGTGGGAAGGCAAGCCAAGCTATTTATTTGATATCCTTCTTGTTCAAAGTTTCCTTTTTGAATCAAGGTGTCTGTAAAAAGTCAGAATTTTGAATTTGATTACAAAATAACTCGCCATTTCTCATGCAAAATATCAAAGTGATTGATACTTTATGTTGATTTAGCAATATTTTGCACAAAGAATGAGGGAGATTTATGATCTTACTGCATTTGTGCAGCAAAGGATGAATTTCTACTTCATTGGTCTACAACAAGAATGCAAAGAACCTGAAATGTATTTGTGTGATTTGTTTTTAAATCAAAAGACGTTCATTTTAATGTATTTGTCAACAAAGTTTTTTTGTTTTTTTTTTTTCTAGAGTGGATTGATTACACGACTTCAACTTTAAAATTGTGTTTTTAAAACATGACTTTTTAATAAGGTTGTGTTTTTAAATAATTTACCGTAAAAACTTTTAAAATTGAGTTTTGAAAACACTATTTTAAACTTGAAAATAAGCTTTAGAAAACATTGGTTTGACAAGTAAGTTTGGAACTACTTGAGTTTTGGAAATATGATTTACAATCAGATGCTTTACGTATAAAATTAATGTAGTGGGTTGCGTTTTTTTTTTAGAACTTATTTAATGCTTTGTGTTGGTGAAAATTTTTGAAAGGTTTTTTAATGAGGAAATAATAATTTAGCGTAAAATTAGAAAAAAAAAATTTACACATCAATTGTAAACTACATAAATATTAATAATTAAAATTCTAAACTTTTTTCTATGTGTTTGTAATTTTTTTTTAAAACTCACTGGGCTATAATTTCCCCTTTTTAAAATGTTGAAGGATGCATATTACTTCAGGAACAAAGAGGTCCTTATTATTAGCTTTAAAAGAGACACAAGTTCATTGCAAAAAAAAAAACTTGAATTTTGTCGCTGTGCTAAGAAATTGAAAAAGAAAGACTAAAATAGTTGAGTATTTATACTAATTAGCATTTTAGAGCAAGAAAGAGACTTCATAATAGTACCTTTACGTAATTAGCCACATGGGCCTTCAGTTATGTTCCGCTCCCATCATTCTTCTTCGTAACCGGTTCAAGTTCACCATCACGACAACGAAAAGCCAATCCTTCATTTTATCAACACACCCAAAGTAGGTGTATCTCCAAGACTTCTTTAACATCAAACTACCACAAACAGCCCAAAACCCCACCACAAACCCCAATGCCATGCCAAGGTAGAAGCCCAAGTTGTCGTTTTCGTTTTCGTTTTCGTTTTCGTCTTCATTCTCATCTTCATCTTTGTGAGCCTTAGCATGTTGGTTTGCATCAGCATCTCTATCATTGGGCATTAGGCACTTGGTTGACAATGGAGGCCCACAAAGTTCTGGGTTACCCTCGTAAATGGAAGGATCAATGAAGGTTTCGAACTGGTTGCCGGAGGGAATTGGTCCGGACAAATTGTTAAATGACAAGTTCAAATTGTTCAGTGAAGTCATAGAGGACATGGTTGAAGGAATTGGACCTGAAAGGTGGTTGCATGAGAGGTCAAGTGTTTCTAACCGTTGTAAGCCTCCAATCTTCTCCGGTATTTTCCCCGTCAGTCGGTTGTGGGATAAATTTAAGGTTCCTAAGGTCGAGAGATTTGTTATTAGTTCTGGGATCTCTCCCTGAAGATTGTTGCTCGACAAGTCAATGATATTTACCAACTCAAGTGTGAAGGTATATATCAATTGTCTTCCTTTCACAACCAATTCCATTTCCATTTGTTGATAAATGGCATCACTGAGAGAGAGTTGATGTGGACTATATGATATCATAGAATTCAGAGCACCCAATTTTCCCAAGCATGATGGGATGGATCCTGATAAATTATTAAGAGCAAGGTCCAAGATGTGGAGGTGAGCAAGAGAGCATAATTGTGCAGGAATATTTCCACTAAACATGTTGTCTCGTATACGCAGTTCCAATAGTGATGAGAAGCTTTGTCCAATGTATTTGGGTATGTTTCCATAGAATCGATTCTCTCCAAGATCAAGCATCGTCAAGCCTTTGCACTTCTGTAATGCAAAAGATACTTCCCCTGAAAGATTGTTGCTGCTCAATTTCAACCAAGAAAGACTAGGCAGTGAGCAAATTGAACCTGGAATCTCACCATGTAAATTATTTTTGGACAAATCTATGATTTCAAGATTTGGTAAGTCCCTCCATTGATCATGGATTCTTCCAGAAAAATGGTTGTTTGATAGATAAAGCATTTCCAAACGTTTCATCTTACCTATGGACAAGGGGATGCTACCATTTAGGAAGTTCCCAGATAAATCAAGAACTTCCAATGACGGCATCATTTGGCTGATGGTCATGGGAATTGATCCTGAAAATAAATTGCTTGCCAGCAAGAGATTTGACGCGTCGGGCCAAAATAGGAGTGAACCTTCTAAGCGGTTGAAACTTAAATCCACTAGAAATGCTGAGAGAAATACTAATGAATTGGGAAGCATTCCATGTATCCGATTGTAAGAAAGATCTAACCAATAGATCTGTGGGGATAACTCCCAAAGCCAATAAGGTATTGTGTCGGAAATGGCAGCGTCTGCCAACGTTATATCAACAAGTAGTTTTTGATTACTTAGCCATGCTGGAAATATGGGACCTAATTGACAGTTGCGGATTGCGATTTCTGTTAGGCTAAAAGGAGGAACCCATTCGTGACTCATATTGAAGATTAAACTATTGTTCGACGATGATATTGTGAAACTTAGCAGTTTTGTGAGGCCTTGCAAATGATTTTGGGATAGAGCACCTTCCCAGTAATTGTTATAAAGTGCCAAGACGTTTAAGTTTGCAAGTTTTCCGACACTATCTGGAATAGACCCATTCATTTGATTAAAAGAGAGGTGTAATATCTCCAATTTTGACAACCTTCCAATAGATGCTGGGATTGGGCCTGAAATTAAGTTATTAGAAAGTAGAAGGTTTCTTAAGTTCTGAAGGTGTGCTAGTGAATAATCTGGCAACTGTCCACTCACTTGGTTGCTCCCTAAGCTTAACTCTTCTAAGCTACTGTTGCTGCATTCAACCAAACCCCTTATAAGTTCACTTATGTCTCCGTTAATTTGATTTCCGAATAAATCTAAAGTTCTCAAGTTGCAGAGGTTTCCCCATTGTATATCAGAAATAGGGGCCTTCATGTAACTAAGAGAAAGATATAGATCCAAAAGGGAACTTATGTTAAACAACCATTGAGGTATTGAAGAGTTGAAATTGTTGTCAGAGAGATCAAGGACGGAAAGGGAAGTGAAATTGATGTTTGGTACAGAGTGAGGTAAGCTGTGAAGTTCACAGTTTTGCAATCTCAATTCTGACAGAGAAGGAAGCATATTTAAAGCTTGCAGCCAATTAGTACTTGCCAAAGTGAGGTTCACATATCCAAGATTAAGATATCTTAGAGAAGACAGACCAACAAGCCAGTTTAAATTTGAAACCCAACTTGAAAGTGCAAAGAGATCAAGATGGTGCAAATTTGATAGATTTCCAAGATGAGGAGGAATCATTCCACCAAAAGATGCATAAGAGAGATCGAGGTAGCTCAACTTTTCAAGTGAGCCTAAGAAATTTGGGATTGTAATCCCTTGGAAATCATTCATGCTTAGGTCCAAGTAATTCAAATATTTCAAGTTGAGCAAGGAGGAACTTACCTCACCACCCAAACAAGACGAGTTGGTTGCAGGTGCATAACCAATTTTTTTGTCATAACAGTCACCAAGGTTTCCAAGCTCCAGCGCTACAACATTGCCAGTCTGGTTGCTGCAACCTATACCCATCCAAGTACAACAATCATTGCCTACCCAAGAAGAAAGTAGACCAGAAGGATCTGTGAGACCTTTTTTGAATTCAACAAGTGCTTTCCTTTCAATCTCTATGCAACTGGGTTTGGAATTGCTAGAGTTGGAACTGAATCTACTGGCTTCAAGGGAAACAAACATCAAAAACAAAGGAAGGAAAAGAAGAAGTTGAAAACAACTGTTGGCCATGCTTACCATGATACAACCCCAAGTTTTGTCCAACACAAACCTATTTATATGCAATAATGTAGGAAATATAGGATGTTTCATGGAATCTACCAGTCAGCAACAAACTGTTTATGCTTTAAAATTCAAAAAATAAATGTACATATAAATAGAACACAAAATTTCACACAAAACATGGACTTTCTGTCTTCATAGCTGAGAATTTTGACTGGCCGAGAATTTAATTTTAGAGGGTTTGAATATTTGTAATTTGTATAATAGACAAAATCCGTAATTTTAAAATAATAATGTTATAACATATATTGATATATTAATTTATACCTATAGTATTATTATTATTTTTAAGCTTATTAATTTGCGGGGAAGCACTTGATGTGGAGTTTGACCAAAATAACACTTGGTAAAATGAGTGTTTTTATTTACATATCACTATTTTATTTTTTAAGGTTAAAAGGCAGTTTCTGGCTTAGAGCATTTCTTACAATAAAAAAAGAATTAAGGGCACAAAAGTACATCAAATGTTAAAATAAAAAGATTAAAAAGATGTTAGAGAAAAACGAAAGTGACAAATCATTCCATATTTTTTTTTAACAACCGACAGGGTGATAGACATACACAAATGTTGTAAAGACAGATGTGACAGTAATCATTTTAGGATTATGAAATAAAATGATGAATTTTTAAATTTCAATGAATAAATATAAATAGATTACATAATTTTTTATAAAATTTATACATTATATATATTTTAAATACAATGAAAAGAAAATAAAGTCCAATTCTATGTTAATAAATCAAATAGTGTCGGCGGGTTGGATGCTAATGTTTAGCTACAAAACAAAAATCTCGTTTGAAAATATGTTATTTTAGTAATTTTTTAACTTTTTATAAAAAGATTTGTAAAAAAAATAAAGGAAGTGATGTAACAACTTAAAAGATTTGTAAAAAAAATAAAGGAAGTGATGTAACAACTTATAATAATTTTTTGACTTTTTAGCTAAAATATGTAGTTGTCAAATGAGACCAGGCTGTTTTCGCAATCAAAAATGTGAGCGTCATAAAAGTTTTATCAAATTTTTTACCTATGTGAATGTTTGATAGAAATTTTAATAAAATATATAATATCTTTTTTAGTAATTAAAATAGTTAAAAAGTCAAGAAATTATTAAAAAAAATTGATTCTTCTTATTTTTTGTACGTTTTTTTGGAAAAATTAAAAATTGACCTAAAATAGTCAATTCTCAAACACAATTTGATTATGAGATAACAGTGTTGATTATAAACTAAGGGTAAATTACACTTACTTCCCCTAAGATTTCTAACAAATATAGGGACCTCCTCTGTAGTTTCAATAATTACAGAAACTTCCCTTACTTTTGCTAACAATATCAAGATTTTTTCAATCAGTTAATTTAGCACAATTGCCGTTATTTTTCTATCTAAAATGACCATATTGACCGTTTGAACTAATATTTAAATAAAAAATCGCACTACCTCCCTGGCGGTTTTGCATATATATTATTAAAAATACATGCATATTTTAACTTATGCCATAATAGTTTAATATAAGACCCTAATAATTAATACAATACTCATAAGACGTATTTTACACTATATAAACAACGAAATATTTATTAATTTTAATTAATATATTTATTATTTAAATTTCTTTTTTCTTTTTTTTTTAAGTTGAAACAAATGGATTAAAAAAAAATTCCAGCAAATTGTCCTACTTATTTATGCATATGTAAGAAAATTATTTGTCCCTAAATTATTAAGATATCATTAAAAAATTTAATTTTTACCTTTGAATCGTTAAATTTCTAATCGATGCATATTTTAAAAAAACACAGGTTATTCTTACATGATTAAAAAAATTAAAAAATAAATATAGAAGTAAAAAAAAAAAAATCTAATCGCCTCACAATAAATTAAAATTAGTTAATAGAGAAATTATTTTAGAATACTAAAATACTCAATTAATTTGTTGCATACTTAAAATATATTTCTTCATATTTATTTTTCTCATTTAAACTATTTTTATTAAATTAAATCTTAAAATTAATTTCTCACCTTCATTAATGGTTAAATTTTTTTACTTTATTTTTTAATTTCTCACTTTTATTTTGTTCTATTATTATTTATAGCAAAGTGTTATTGTTCAAATTATCTAATTTTATATCTTCCGTATATCTAATACTCATATAATTTTATTGACAAGACTGAGAAATCAAACTTTAATACTAATTTAAAAACACAACGAAATAAAACGCTTTCTAAAGAAAAAAAAATATAAATGTAATTTAATTTACCCTATTAAATATATATGAAATCATTATTTATTTTTCATAATTTTTTAAAAATATAAATGTAATTTCTTGACTCTATTTTTTTTCATAACAAGTTTTTGAACTTTTATAAACAAAAAAATAAAATAAAAATTCAAACATTAATGAAGGTAAGAAATATATTTTAAGATTTAATTTAATAAAAATAGTTTAAATGAGATAAATAAAGATGGAGAAATAGATTTTAAGTATCATACATAACAAATTAATTGAGTATTTTCTTATTCTCAAATAATCTCTCCATGCAAGTAAAGATTAATTTTAATTTTAGGTGTAAGAAATGACAAATTATTTAAATTATTTATTATTCTCAAATGATTTCTTGATCTTTCATTCCCTATTAACTAATTTTAATTTATTGTGAGGTGATTAATTTTTTTTTACTTCCGTTTTTATTTTTGTAATTTTTTAATCATTTAAGAAATATTAACCTGTATTTTTTTAAATATTCATTGACTAGAAATATAATGACCCAAAGATAAAAATTAAAATTTGAGAATAATATATGATTGAAAAAAGATAAAATAATAATATTTTTACATATGAATAAATATGTGATGTAAATTGTTGAGAAAAAAATTAATCTATTTATTTTAACTTTAAAATAATTCAAATAATAAATGAATTACATAGAATAATAAATTTTAAGTTATATGTGGTGTGAAATAAGTTTTATATTAAATTATTAGGATGCTATCTAACATTAATTTTGGAGAGATTATTTATTTTTAAGTATTTTATCAATAAAAATTAAATTTTTTTGCATTAAATAATTTAATAATGTCTTAACAATTTAAAGATTTTATTTAATATTGCATGCAATTTAAGAATTTTATTAAATAATGGTAAAATATGTATGGTTTTTGATAATATATATGTAAAACCTCATGGCAGGTGAGTGAAATTTCTGATTTCAATAGATAAAGTAATTCATGGGCAATTTTGTCATTTTTGGTATGATATCAGTAAATTCTGTTAAATAACCTAACAGTGGAGAAACAATGATAATAGTTTCAAAAGTAAAGGATAGTAGTGTAATTATTAAAATTATAAGGAAGTCTATGTAATTGTTAGAAAGCTCAGAGTAAGTACGTGTAATTTACCCTAAACTAAGCTAATTATAATCAACCATTCAAATTTATTTACTATGGATAGCTCATATTCATTTATTCATCATTTATGAGAAGGAAAATAACTTAAAGACGTTCGAAAAAATTAATTACAAAAAGTGAAAAATATTATAAATATTAATAATTATAATTATAATTTTTTTATTAATTTATAATTAATTTTCATTGGCACTTAGGCTAAGTTTGGCAACTCAAAATAATCCATCTTTTTATCTTTTTTTCATCACATCACATCTCTATTTTTCTGCATATCTTTTCATAAAAAGATAAAAAGTACACTTATTTACGTCATCCCAAACAATCCCTAACTGTCCCTTTATGATATACACATTTTTCGTGTGTACTGTTTTCTTGGAAAACGAAACATTGACACTAATATTTTATGATTTTAAAATAATAGTAGTACTATATATATTAATTGATATACCAATTAATATATTAATTAGTGTATCAATATATGTTATAACATTATTATTGACCTAACTCATTATACAAATTACAAATATCTAAAACCTCTAAAATTATATCACATCTTTTGTTAGTACACTAAGAACATCTCCAATGATTGTTGCTATAATGCCATTGCTATTGCTATAATTTGGCAATGAATAGTGCTATTTTGCCAAATTATAGCAATGGTGCTCCAATAGTTATTTGTTATTTTGACAAATCTCAACCAACTTTCACTCCAAGTTTATAAGTGTTGTTTGGATATAGGTTTTTTTGTGATTTTATTTTTGTCTTTAGTAACCTTTTTTTAACTATTTGTAAAAAAAATTATATATTTATATTATTCCCGACTAGACAAATATAAAAAATGAAAAATTGGAAAAAAAAAATTAAATCTAATTCACCATTATGTTATCTTTTTAATGACAGTTAATGTTATCTAATGTCAGCTAATGTTTTTCTATTATACTGAAAATTTTAAATTATACTAAAAAATAGTCAACATTATACATTGCAAAAATAATATTACATTCTTTGTAGAGAATACTCAAAATAAAAAATAAAATAAAATAAATGAAATTTCAATACAAAATAAAAAAATGACATTGCAAATAAAACCTAACAATTACATTAAAAAACAAATGACATTGTAAAATTTAAAAATATATTATCCCGTAATTATTCATGAGGAGGCAGGGGAAATAGTAATTTGAGCTGCTGACATTTGAGGACCACTTGGCAAAAATTTCATTTTTTCGCATTGTGTAATACGCTTTCAGCTGAGGGTCCAAATGAGAAATGTCCGTAGTCATTATTATATATTCTTCCTTTTTCATCTCATCTTCTTGTTTTCTTATCTCAAAACCATGTTTTTTTATCTCAAATTCTTTCAGCTCCTGCATTGCTTGAATCATTTTTTCTTCTCTTTCATCTTTTTTCTTTTCCTTCTTAGCAAGGTGTTGGTTAAATGTCTCCAATTGTATGCTCATTTTTTGGACTTCAGCTTCAACGACTTGATTTCTCCAAGATAATTAATCTTTTGTAGCTTTCTTACCTATAGGCCTTTTACCCCTTGCAGAGACACTGCCCTCACCAAC